AACTTCCAAGTACTAGGTGAAAAAAGGGGGCATGTTGGGCTTAAAATGTTTCGTGATTTTAACTTATCTTTAAAAAGCCTCTTTTGAAGGATAAAAACAGAAACAGACTTTTAAATGAAACTGTAAATACTAACTTTGGGACATATCTACTTTTTATTTTGTTAATTTGTTGCAGTTGAAAACATTAATTTCTAGCTTTTGTTTATCTGCACTTTTTTCAATTTCTACATTCTGTTTGCAACATTGCTTCTTTCCCACCCTCAAATTTTGCCCACAATTTGCCAAACTGTCTGTGGAGAGTCTGGAGTGCTGAAGGTAAGGAGCAAATGAACATTATTCAATCAAAAAATAAATCTGAAAATACAGTTCTATCCAACTCCTTAAAATCAGATTTGCTTTTAAAAGACAAATGCCATCAGTTCTTGAGTAAACAAAGATCTTACCTTCTTCTGCTCCTGCTGGATATACATATTACATCTTCTGAAACAAAAACAGACAAATGGTTCATACACATTTTGCTACCAACTCTCTTCTCATTCAGGTGAGGGAATGCTGCTGTTATATGCTGCTCTTTAATCTCTTAGCAGTAACCATTTAGTTGAAATCTCTTCTCCTTGGATATCATAGAAAAGGTAAATAGTATGAAAGTGACCACTGTTAGCTCTGAATTATACCAACAAAAATCTTAAAACACACCAAGAACTTGCATATTAACGGAAAGACAAGCCTCATTTACACCATGTGAGCTGCTCATGCTTGTAGCTGACAAGAGTGTATCCAGCTGACTCTCTCAGATGGAATGAGCAGCAAGAAGAGCATTAGTTTTATAAAACTGCTTTGGATTTGCTGCTAAATTCCAAAGAACTAAAAGAACCTGTAATTTGATATTGAGTCTTAAGAATTCTGTAAAACACACTTGCACTGGGTTTTCCATGAGGCGCTTTGGGTTTTCTTGGTATTGGGGGAGGACTATGGAGATAGCCCTATAAGAAGCTTCTAGAAGCTCCTCTAGCTTCAAATGTTGGACTCACCTCTGACCAGGGCCAAGCCAATCAGTGCCCCTGTGCATTCATGTATTTAAGAAGGGTGCAGTGCACCGCTCACTTTCTCTCTTGCCCCAGCCCTGACCAGCACAGCCCTGGATGCAGGCAGCGTGGCCCTGGCCAGATTGGCCCAAACTTAAGCTCAAACCCTGCTTCATCATTAGCCTGAAAAAGCCAGGAGCTCTTCAAGTACCATCAGAAGAGACCTACAGCAGAGGAAAAATAAGAGTAGGATGTGAGGAGAACAACTTGTGCAGACACTAAGGTCGGCAAAAGAAGAAAGGAGAGTGCGGGGGAGGAGGTGTGTGGAGCCGAGGTTCCCCCTGCAACCTGTGGCAAGAGCACAGGTTGACCCACCTGCAGCCTGTGGAGTTTCAGCAGTGGGGCAGACCCACATGACCAGGTGGCTGTCCCAGAAGAGGCTAGGACTCTGGGCAGCATGTGCTGGAGCAGTTCATGTGTAAGGGAACTGCAGCTGTGGGCTGACCCCCTGAAGAGGAAGGAGCAGCAGAGACTGCATGGGATGAACCGACTTCAACCCCCATACTCATCCCCCTGTGCTGCTGGGCAAAGTTGGGGGAGGTGAAAAAACCGTGAACAAAACTGAGCTTGGGAAGAAGGAAGGAATGGGGGAAAGCGCTGGACTTTAAGAACTGGTTGTATCTCTCATTGTTCTACTTTGATGTTACTGTGAACAAAATTAAATTGTTTTGTTTTTCTCACTGTGATGAGTCTGTCTTTTGCCTGTGACCATTAGTGGTAAGCAAAAACCCTCCCAGTCCTTATTTTGTCTAGCCCCCTTTTGTGCGCATCATGGTGCTCAGTTACCCACTAGGCTTAAATCACAACACTCCAGCTTACATAATTGCTCTGAATTTGATGCTAAATTCCAAAGAACAAAAAAAAACCACCCTGTAATTTGATATTGAATCTTAAGAATTCTGCATAAATAAGTAAAACACACTCCACATATCAAGTATTACAGACAGGGCTCTGAGCTAGATCAACTCAGGTGCGCAGTAAAGCAGTTCTGCTAAAATAAATGAATGTAGTAAACCTTGCTGAAGAATGCAGTACTTGCACCAACTAAAACTCTATTGTAAGAGAGCTGAAAGTCAAGTCTGATTTGTAAGACAGTCTATAAAACAACACAGGCAAATAATTGCAACGGTTTCAAGCAGGCCACATATCTCAGTTTCCTGCCTGGTCTGTTGTCAGTTATCCCATATCAAGGCTTGACTTTTAAGAGGCATGGGTAAGAAGCCAAGTAATTCCCCACAGGGTGAGAACATTAAACTGAATCTGTCTTTCTTCAGTAACATTTACCTTAATGAAATAAGCTTCTTTCTTTAAAAAGGAAAAAAAAATCGGAAAAATGATGTACAAAAGTATGTATCAGGAAGAACAGAGTGCAGAAGAATTTTTCATATTCCAGAAAAGAAAAAACAGACTTTCTACAGCAATTCAGTATTATGTAGTTTTCAGTGATACATCCTGCTCAGGCTACCTACTAATCACTCATTTGAACTAAAAACGGGTTGTTTTTTTTCTTCCCAAGGTCAAGGCCAGGTTGGACAGGGCTTTGAGCAACCTGGTCTAGTGGGAGGTGTCCCTGCCCATGGCAGGGGGGTTGGACTGGATAGCTTTAAGGTCCCTTTCAAGCTAAACCATTCTGTGATTCTATGAAAATAGAAATACATTAACTAAACACTTACAATTTAAAAGATTAAAAATATTTTCCCCCTCCACATTCATTCACATTTTTGCATAGGCAAAGCAGAGTAATACTTTTTTTGGAAGGTTAAACAAGTATACATAAAAAATCAAAACATGTTCATTCTAACTGACGGAAGAGGACCAAAAAAACAGTAGCTCAAAGCACATGGCTTTTCCATTGCAGAACGGTTGCTGTAAGTTGACAGCATTCTTTCTCACCCTGCTTGAAGAGCTGAGACTGACACAAACTGTAAAACTCTCAGCAATACAAACAAGAGCATTACGCATTAATATTCTAGCACAGCATCAAGTGCTGTTCTGAAAAGCCACTATCTTCCCTATTACAGAATATATAAAGGCATGTCTTCCATTTGGTAAGACAAAGTGCCTTCCCTAACACTTTATTCCTAGAAAAACATGATTGTCCAGTTTCACTGACACATCTGCAAGTGTTGGTCCTCAACACGCACTTAGTTACTGCTTCAAGGAAACTGTGATGGAATAGTTGGCGCCAGTTGAATAACATCTTTGAAGAAGCTGGTTTCATGTATCAAACATTGGAACTAAAAACTCAGCTGCACAAGGGCCTGCACAATCTGGTCAGAAGTCAATGATGTTCTTGCTTAGAGCAAGAATTTAGACTAGAGAACTTGCCAAGACCCTTTCCAATCTGGATGGTTCTCCAATATGGATCATTCTTCATACTCATAGAAACATTAAAAAAAATACAAATCATGAACTGAATATTTTACCCATGCTGTTGCATGTAGTTTTAACTCAGCTTGTTCTTGCACTTAGGAAAGTTGAAGAACTTGAAAAAGTGACTCTGAAGTCTATACAATAAAATGTAACACACACATCAGGATTCCTTTATGTACCTGCTCAGGGAATTACTTCAAAATATTGACAGTGAATTCTTATTTTATTTGAATTCTTCAATTCTATACAGTAAATTTGCAATTAACAGTATTTCAAAAAACCAGTTCTCAAGTTCACTACACTCTCCATTTCAACATTTGCTCATTCAAAATACATGAAAGTTAAATAGCAAAGCAGACCTGCAAATGATTTGAAGTCAGAACTTATGAACAGCAACACTTTTTCATTATTTTGCCAAGACTACCTTCCATAAGTGGTAACTACTATACAATAATTAATGATTAAAATGCACATCAATTTACAGTATTCACAAAGACAGACGTGCCACATGAACAAGTGAAAAAGGCAGCAGGATCCTGTGTAATTTAAAAGTGACTAATTTGTTTTGTTTGCTAAAAATCACTCCCCCTTTCCAAACTTTCACTATATTTACTGACAAAACCAAGGACTAATTTATTTAGAATGACCAGGACTCATTTTCAGACTGAAAGCCTTGATTTGCTAGGGGAAGAAGGTAGAAATGGTGCATTTCAGTAGTTTGCTTGCACATGAACAGACTGAATTCTGCTCCACAAAATAGCTTATCCAGCAGAGACTTTAAATGAAGGACAACAGTGCTAAATGGTAAGTAGGTAATTGTATATGTACCTCTCCAATCTAATAAGAGAAACTCTAGAAACAGCCAATTAATTTTTTACACTTTCTATACAATTTGAATACTGATACTAAATACATTTGTAAGATTATTCTACTCTTACATGAAGCAGCCTATTAAACCCTGAAGTTGTGAGTGGAAAGCTGACTGCAAGTGGCACTTACACATGCACACATCAGTTTCTAATTTGCTTTATTCACACTTTAGTTACAGTAAGCCTTGCAAGCCAACTGCAAGACAGTAAAATTTGCATACCATGCAACTTTGCCCAAACCCAAGTTTCTGTTATTTTGTACAAAGTAAAAGATTCCTATTTGTCATCTTCTGCCACATTACAGCAGTCTATGTATCTGTAAATTATGACACTTATGTCTACTTAAGCTACTTTTACAGTTCCTATTTTGCTCACAGCTTCATTAACAATGGTTGAAAACATTTTTAAAAGATCAGTAAACCCATCAGTCTTCTATTTGCAAGTTCTTACAACTCAGGAAAAAAATTCCTTTGAGCTGACTAGCAGTCCAAATTAAGTATCAGATGTGATATTTATAAAGTAGAGATTAAGAATTCATATCCAATCCTTAGGTCAGTTAACTGGTAAGAGGAAAGATCCTCACTCCAACCACATCTGAATCCGATCCCCTTCGGTATGACTGCATATTATATATTCATGTCTGTAATTCTAAATAGAAACAGTACCTTTTTAATTACACTTAGGAATCTATATCCCCATTTTCAAAAGTTCTTTTACAGTGTAAGGAGAATCCACAGAGTGGATTCTTGAAACTTCATTTTCTGGAGCTGTTTGTAACAATAATTATGTAAGTCAATCATGTACACTGTGCTAAATCCACACTTGAACAGATTAGGAAACATTCTGAAGCAGTGTTGAGTAAATAATTTTAGTGAGATGTAAAACAGCCACATGCAAGGTGTACTGTACTATAACAGCTCCAAATCCTTTATAAAAACCTAGCATTCCTTCTTCCCGTTTTATAGTATTTATGCAGTCTTTCATTCCCTCATACTGAGTATTGATCGGAACTACTTCATAGCCAAGGTCTGTATTGTCAATTATTGTGCGTGTCCCCTGAATATGAAGGCGGTGCAAGACTGTCTCCAATGGGTAGAGCATGACATCAGCACAAAGGCTAGCAGCAAAGCTAGCAATAAGTTCTGGAAAATATGCATCCAGCATGCTCTGCACAGAAGTGGAGCTTTCAGTTGGAAGGTTGTGGGAATTGTCCCTTTTGAGAACAAACAAAACAAGCTTCTGGATGACAGAACTGATGATGTAGTGAAGAACTCCATGTAGAGCAGTTGGAAAAGTCAAGACCATCAAAGGAAGGAGACGCTTGCTATGGGGTACTCCCATGCCTACAACTCTGCCGATTCCTTCTTTCACGCAGTCCAGGATGCCAGGATTATCTCGAATGATTTCGCTCTACAAGCACAATGGAATAGTTACAATTTGTGTTGCACGTTTCCTAATCACGCTGACATACACTTTGAAATATTACTACTGCTGAACTTTGTAAGACAGATAAACATTTGCATGCTACCGTATCTACACAGCTATATTAAAATAAATACTATGCTCTAACACTTTTGATAGCATTCAAGTAAACTTGCTTCTAAAAATGAATTCTTAAAGAATCTTTATTTCATGTACATTCTAGTTACCTGCATTAGTACCAAAGAAATTCAATTTTCAAAGTATCAGTCTGCGCAACAGTTATGTACTGAAAAGCCTACTTCTGAATCAAAATGCCAAGTATTTACGCAGTTTAAAGTCCTTTTCATTAAGGACTATAACTCTAGTCATTGAAATTTAATTAGCGTAATAAAGACTTCCATAACTGAAGTTGAGTTGGAAGATAATTTTTAATTTTAATTTAATAGGTTCAGCTCTGGATATTCCTGTTCCATTACTGACATCTAAAAGAGCACTCTGTAGTCATGCTGCCTCTTAGAAAAAAGATAATTATTTTGTTCATGTAGTGAAAATAAAGAATTAATTTAGTAAATATTTTCTTTGTTATATTCCACCTATGACTGTACGCTTAAGCTAAAAACAGTTTCCCCTTGTATTGCTTATACAAACTCTGTGTTTTATCATCTGTCACACAAAAAATCCAGGATTTGGGATTTCTCCTCAATGCCCAAGCCTGAGTCCATGATGGCTGTGTCCTGACCTCATGCCAGGATAAAAAACTTCTCAGTACTCTGAGGAAGGATTAACAGCCTGCAAAGCCTTCACAGTTTGCCCAGAAGAGAAACTAGTTCATGTACTTGAGAATATTATGTTGTTCCAGACTTTAAGGACAAGTTGTGCATTATTCACTGAGGTGAAGAGCTCCAGAGCGGAGGATCACACAGAGGACCATGCTGGGGGACCTTGCTGAAGTGACAAAAGTGGCTAAACCGCAGGAAAACCAAAAAACAAGCATGAAGGCAAAAAGCGCAAGGATAGAGAGGGTGTCGCAGCACCCCCCCCCCAGAAAGGGAAACGTGAGCTCCTGACAGCAGTCAGCCCTGACTCACCGTGGGCGGGGACAGGAGTGATGGTTAAGGCTCTCAAGTAGAAAAGCATCCTCCAGGGAGTGCAAGCGCGGAGTGCGGCAAACAGGACAGGTAAACAAACAGGGCGTGGTGCGGCAGTTTGCGCAGGCAGGGCAAGCAGGAAGGGCACTGAGGCCTGGCCAGATCACCCAGTCAGCGATGGTTACCACCAGGCAGAGAGCCATGGCCTCCCACAGCCATGCACCCACCAAGGCAAACACAGCTTGCCAGACAGAGCAATGGTGGGAGCACGCTGCCACTCAGGTGTCGAGCTACAGGCTGTGCCTTGCTCTTATGCTGATGCCTGATGGCAGCAGTAAGCATGCCTGGGGGAGGTGTGACCAAGTAGAGGAGCACCCACAGCCACGCACCCACCAAGGCAGACACAGTAGGCTGTAAGTAGGCTGAGAACGATCAAGGAGTGTGAGGAGGAGATAGACCATTGGAGCCGTACCCTGTCTTCCCCGAGGAAGGCCCAACGGGTAGAAGAAGCTCATGAGAACGAGGCACAGGGCTCCCTAGCCTCTCTACGCCAGGCTGACCATAGCAAACGGGAGGACTTAGAGGACAGGGACCAAAAAGAATGGAAATTAGTCTCTTCTCAGTGCAACAGGCGTGCCCTCCCCCAAGTAACT